GTGACGGTCCCTCCCGCCTCCCCTTCGCCCTGTCCGCTTCGAGGGGGCCTCGAAGCCGATTCTCTCGTCTGTCCCTCTCACCCATCCAGCAGGCGTTTATGTGGGTGCCAGGCCCTCGGCTGGCACCCCGGGGCGAATGAAGGGTGCAATGTTAACGCAGCCGTCATTTCGTTCATCCCGGCTCTGGGGGCGCGCGGCGGCGGCGTGCCCCTCCGTTCCTCTCTCGTCCGCCGCCTGCGCGCCCCCGTGCGCCTCCTCACCCTCCATCAGCGCGCATCCCGGGGCTCGGGGTTGATCTGTGCCCGCCCAGACCTCCCGCCGGAACCTGGCGCCGAGGACTTCCGTCGCCCACCGACCCTGCGCGACCCACCGCTAGTCTAGGGACCGCCTGGCCCCGCCACCGCCGGCGGGCGCCTCCCCAGGTTCTTCCCGGGGCGCGGCGGGGCAGCCAGGCGCGGAGAGGAGCGCACGGAGTCCGTGGGCACCGGAGATGAGGCCGCTGGCCCGCAGCCCAGCGCGGCGGGGCGGGCAGGAGCGGGCGTGGGGAAGGGTGAGCTTCCTGGACCCGGGGGCCCTGCGCCTTCTCATCTTGGAAAACCGCACCACCGGTCACCGCGGTGCGGTCTACCCGCTCCCCTCCCCGCCCACTCAGCCTGACTAACTGTCGGCTTCCTTCTGAGCTCGCCGATCGATTCACCAACGGAGTGGATCAGAGACGTGGAAGCACGGAGCCGCGTGGGAATCTCGGAGGGAAGGCGGGAGGGGGTGCGAGGGAGGTAATCACCCAAAGACCTTGTGTGCGTCTATGCGTGGCCCACGGACACGGACCATTAGATGGTGAGGCCTGGGGCCGGGGTGGGCGGAGGGGGCTGATGGGGAGAAGGGGGACATAAGTAATACTTTCAACAATAACGATTTTTTCTGAAGTGAACTGTAACTAAAATAAACATTTAAATGAGCGCGCTCAGCTTCACTCACTTTCTGGCTTCCCCGCTTCTCTTCTGCAGGACCAGGCCCCCATCTAGTGACTGGGCTCGGGAACAGCCGCCTGACTGGTTCCCGCCTCAGAATCTCATAAACCGAAGCCGTCCTGTGACTCCTCTGCTGAACCCCTTTGCCGGTGGTTTCCACGCCCCATCAGTGCTTACTGCTTTGTCTCCCCGATAAGAAGGCCGTGTGAATAACCACGGAGCCGTTTACAGCGGAGCCCGAGCTGCCGTCCCAGGGGAACTGCCTGTGTGCAGTCTTATGCCTCAAACCTTCGGATGTTAAAACCGGGCAAAATAACCTTTGCACTGCGCTGAAGCAGCCTAGTTTCCCAAAGGAATGTTTGCAAAGATAACCAGGAGGCAACTACTATGACTACTAGACTGAAAATTAAAACATGGTGCGCCCAGCTGGTGGGCTCACGGTTGGATCCCAGTCAGGGCACATGCCGGGTTGAGGCAGCTGATCCATGATTCTCTCTCATTGATGTTTTTATCTTGCTCTCCCTCTCCCTTCCTCTCTGAAATCAATCAATCAATCAATCTATCTATCTATATCTATATATAGATATATATTTTTTTAATCTTTAAATTCTTTATTAGTTAAGGAATTACAAATGTGTCCTCATTCCCCCCCATTAACCCCCATCCTCCCCCCCCTATATATATATATATTTAAAGAATGTTCTCGTCTCATTCCCCTGTTGCGGCTCCTGTTCCAAGCCAGGATGTTAGGTTCCAGAGTGGCCGTGGGCGAGAACACTCTGTCCTTCTGGATGTTTTGGCTCTAATTTCCACCCCAAATGGGTGTTGCCCCTCTCCTTTTTCTTGGCCAACTTCTCTTTGACCAATATAAGCGCATGCTGGAGGCTGGTGGGCAGTCATGCATTTTATGGCAGGCCCTACACACAGCCGGAGTCTGGGGCCCCTGGGCCTCCACAGCACCCCCCACGCTCTGTGCATGGTCCTCTTAACAGTGCTGGTCGTGATGAGCTTGGTGTTTGGTAAGTGGCTCGAAGGGATCCGAAGGCCTGCTGGGTAGAGGAACCCACAGATACCAGGTGTTGGGGACATCTGCCCAGGCAGGAGGAAAGATGGGATGAGTGGGCTTGCTGGGATAATGCCTGGGCACTGCCAATGCACTGATGGCCACTCTGAGGGAGTTGTCTGTGACACCCCAGGGTTGTCTCACTCAACAGCAATGACCTGAATGGAGTTACTGAAGGGACAACACAGAATAGGGAGGGTTTGGGGAGCAAGCTAGATGACAGCACCAGGATCCTCAGGGTAGAAAGAGGCTGGAAGCAGCCTGATAGCCTCCTCACTTGGCTGCAAAGCACCATCGCCATAGAAACAGGATTCAAAAATTTGTCAGCATCTGTCTACACCAAGTGCTCTGCTGGGACTGGGGACTCATTAACCTGTGGTCTTGGCCAGGGACCAGAGGAAGAGGGAGATAGATGTACAGTCAGTCCTCCATATGTGCGGGTTCCGCATCCCTGGATTCAACCGAGGATGAAAAATATTTTTAAAATGATATTGTTGTTGATGTGTACTACGTAGTTAGGCCTATGATGGTTGTGTCTGTACTGAACATGTACAGACATTTTTCTGTCTTTATTCCTTAAAGAATATAGTATAACACCTATATACTAGTATATAGTATTTACATTGTATTAGGTATTACAAGTAATCTATACATGATTTAACGTATTTGGGAGGATGTGTATAGGTTATATGCAAACACTACATCATCTATAATAATAAAAGCGTAATATGCTAATTAGACTAGACAGCCAAACAACCTTCCGGACATCCTTCCAGACGACCTTCCGGACCAAGCCAGGGCTGTGAGGGCTGAGGCAGCTGCCGCCGTTGCATGAGGCCTCTATTTTTACATAAGGGACTTGAGCAGATTTTTGTATCACTTTGGAACCAATCCCCTGTGGATACCAAGGGACAACTATATATGCATGTGGTTGGGAGGGCTTTGGTGGACAAAGTTTAATATGAGTCTGTCCTGCCCCAGCTGGTTTAGATCAGTGGATAGAGCATTGGACTGTGGAACGAAGGGTCCCAGGTTCAGTTAGGGTCAGGGGCACATGTCCAGGTTGTGGGCTCGGTCCCCAGTTGGGGGCGTGCAGGAGGCAGCCGGTTAATGATTCTTTCTCATCATTGATGTTTCTATCTCTCTCTCTCTCGCTCTGCTCTCCCTCTCTGAAATCAATAAAAAAAAAAAAAAGTGTGTTCTTAATATTAAAAAAAAAATGAGAAATGAGTCTGTCCTGTGATAGGACCACCAAACAAAGAATGTGGGCCTGGGCTGCTTGAAATCTCTTGTCTGCACAAAGCAGAGATTCTTCATATCCTGTGATGATGTATTCTTGTTTTTACTTCTGGGTTTGTTTGTTTGTTTTTAATTGATTTCAAAGAGGAAGGGAGAGGGACAGAGAGGTTGAAACATCAATGATGAAAGAGAATCATTGATCGGCTGCCTCCTGCACACCCCGCACCTGGGATCGAGCCTGCAACCCAGGCACGTGCTCTTGACTGGAATCAAACCTCCTGGTTCATGGGTCGAATCTCAACCATTGACCCACACTGGCTGGGCCGGATGGTTTTAAAGAATTGGTGATTTTATGGTTTTCTGAGATGGGGGAGGGAAACAGTGGCGTTGACCTGGAAAATAGGCAGGCAGAGGCATGGGGTCAGAGCTTGTCCGTGTTCTAGGTAAAACTGATCCTGTCAATCAAGAGCCCCCTTATCCAGCTGAGTTCCCCAAATACCTGCGCTGCTATCGGTGCCTCTTGGAGACCAAGGAGCTGGGGTGCCTGCTGGGATCTGACATCTGCCTGGCCTCTCCTGGCAGCAGCTGTATGACTCTCTTCATCAAGAACAGTAAGCTGCCTTCTGTGTGTCTGGGGCCCAGAACTGAGTCCCTACATTTCCTAGCCCCAACTCTCCGACACTGCCCAGCACCGACTCTCTCCTTCAGAGCCAGTCCCTGTCTCCACCGCCACCGCCACCGCCACCGCCACCACCACCGCCTGCCCTTCTCAGCCCACAGCTGAGTGTCCCACCCTCCGCAGGCGCCAGCCTTGAGATGGCCAGCTACCTCTTCCAGTCTCCTTCACAGAGTCTTGCCTCGTTCTCCTTCACCCTTAAGGGTTCATGTTCTTTGGCTATCTTCCCGCTTCACTCTCCCAGAGGAACTTATCTGCTTCCCTGGCGTCCGCACAGCCACATCACAGAGTCTGAGCGGTGGCCACACTGCCCATCAAATTGCCCTCTGGACACCTCCCCTCAACTTTCCACTTGCCCCAAATTGTCCATCCCTTTGTTCTTCTACCTGGCCGCTCACCTTCTTAGTTAACAAACCCTAACACAGCCTCTGGGCCAAGCACTGTGCTAGGCACTTACAGGCCTCTGAGGTGTTCCCAGCTGAGGAGAGAGGCGGGGAAAGGCCCACACCTGCCGAGTCTCCAAGGGCTGAGCCACAACCTGTGGTGGCTCCAGAGATGGCACTCAACCACCACTGCACGGAGCTGCCTGTATTCACATCGCCTCGCACCCTTCCCAGATAGCTGCGCACACGTGGTTCAACACTGCAGCGTTCCGGGGCTCAGAGAAGTCTCCTGCCCACTCCTGGCCCAGTCCCCAGCTCCCACGCACGAAAACAAAAACCACTCTTTTTATGTCTGGATTCCCCTTTCTGTGATGTTTTTGGGCATCCCACCCTATATACATGTACTCTACCTTTACTCCTTCCCCCGCAAACAGTACATAGCCCTGTAGACACTGTTCTGCACTTGCTTTTTAAACTTAACAGTTATGGGAACGTAACGTTTCCCTAGCGGTTTGTAAACAGCGTCCGTGCCCCACCAACCCGCGCTCAGCGCTCCTCGCCTGGGCGTCAGGCCCAGCTGTCATCCGCTGTAGGACTTGTAGGACCGTGGTGACTTCCGCTCTTCAATTCTCTCAGGCAGGGATTTTTCACCCTCTAATATCGGGGCGGAGGGGGGTAAAACGGAGTTAATAAGACTCCTTCTCCTTGGCACTCCCTGCCCTGCCCAGTTCCAGGAGTCTCTGCGTTTGGGGGTGCAGGGAAGGGTGTGGGGCAGTGTAAGTCCAAGTGGAGGGAGGGAGGGGAGGGTGTGGGGCTCTGCCGGACCGTATTGCTGTTGCAGGTAGTGGGTCTGACATCATGGTGAGTGACTGTTGCCGCAAGGAGCGGATGAGTGACTGCTCACACACCCGCACTTCCCCCGTGTTTGGCTTCTGGATGTTCTCTCGATGCTGTTTCCAGGATTTCTGCAATAGCCCACAGAACCGAGCGCTCTAGTCCCATAGGACGTCTGCAGTCTGCAGAGACCTTTGCAGTAAAATGTTGCCGGTGTCCAGCCAGCTTCCTGGTTCCCACCTGGGCGCAGCCAGGACAACTTCTAGCCCCCCCAGCAGTCGTCCCACCTCCCCCAGGTTACCTGACCCAGCCCCCGTTGCCTCTTGCTTGCCGCCCCTCAGCACCCCCATTCACACTCTGCCCCTCCCCAAGCTCCCTCTCCAGACATCTCTGGAGTTTTCCCTGTAAGTCCTCACAGTCTGACAGCTTCCCTCGCCTCTTCTCCCACCTCTAGGCAGCCTTTGCTCTGCTCTGGCCTTCTCCCTTCCTCCCACCAAGGCCTCTCTCGCAAGGTGTTCCTGCAGAATAAATTGGTGTACAATCTGTATGGTTTCTCTCTCTTCTGGTGGAGGTGGAGGCTGAGGGGGGGTCCTGCCTGGCGGCCCCATTGGGGGACAGGTAAGGGGCTCCCAGCTCTTCTGAGCTCTGCTCTCACCTGTCTTGGTGTCTGATTCAGCTCTAAGCACAAACAGGTGAAGAGGAATTGGAAGGAGATACAGTGCCAGCCAAAGGGCAGTGGGCACCCGTTAGTGCTGTCAGCCCAGAGCCGTGTGGGAACTGCAGGGAGGTGTCGGTGGGCGTGGGCTGTGCAAGGCAGGTCCAAGGAGAAGGGTGCGAGCGGCTGGGCCTCGTGGAGCCCGGGGCTTTGTCCCAGGCTCAGCTCCCTCAGGACCATGGCTCTACGCTTGTTTCGGGCCTTGGGGTCCTCAGCCTCTGAGGCTGTCTTCCAGTTCGGGCCTTTCTGTCCTAGACCGAAATCAGGTACAAGGAATAGTGGGCCCAGCAAGAGGGGGACACACAGGTTTACACCTTTGTCCCTCCAACTGCCTTCTGACCTAAACATTGACGTTGGTGTTTCCCACCAGAGCACAGGCCATGGAGTTAACACGTGGCCAGCGTCAGTGCTGTGTACATGAGTATATGCTGTATGATGCCGTTTAAACCCAGCAGACAAAACCCAGCCGAGCTGCTCCAGCTCGGGGTAGAGGTGACGCCGAGTTGGGGGCAGTGCCTAGAAGCAGCTTTGGGTACCAGAGGCCTTTATGCCAGCTTAAAACTGCTAACACAGGTGGGTGGTTTTCAAAAGCCCATCTTATATATGTTTTGCCAGAGGTTTAAAAACAGACAGGCCTAAGTCCGTTTGTCCCGAAGGCATGTGTGTGCGCGCGAAGCCGCGCGCGCGTGTGTGTGTGTGTGTGTGTGTGTGTGTGTGTGTGTGTGTGTGTGTGTGTGTGTGTGTGTGTGTGTGTGTGTGTGTGTGTGTGTGTGTGTGTGTACGTGCACATGCACTCGCCATGGCCCCGAGGAGACCAGCTTACCCACGTGGAGGAGCTGAGATCGGGGTCCCGGCCGCGAGGCTGCACTACTTCTCAGAAATGGGTTGACCACCCCAGCACTGGGTTGAGATTTGGAGGGCAGACCTGGCTGTACCTTCTGAGTCCTGGTGCTCAACACTGGGCCCAGCACAGAGCGGGCGTGTGTAGTTTGTTGAATGTAAGGAAAAGGGAGTTACGACTATTCATTATTGCTTTCAGGATATTTGCCATTTTCAAAAATAAAATAAAAGGCCCCCAGCTAAGGGGTCCTGGATACCAGGAACCTAAAAAGAATGGGCAGTTGGCCGGGTGTCGCCCCGTGCACCAGGTCACCCTAGGGTTCCAGGACAGGGCACACTCCGGTTTCTGGCTCAATCCTCAGTAGAGGGCATGCAGGAGGCAGTTAAAACCATCAGTGTTTCTCTAAAGAAATCAATTGGAAAAAAATACACATACAAAATTAAAAGAAGACAGGCAGGAAACAGGTCCCTCAGCACTAGGTGACTGAGGTGCAGACTTGGACCCTTAGGTTTGCTCCTGAGTTTTCCTGAAGTTTTTCCTCCTCTTTCAGGTGGAAAAATCTGACATCACCTGGACTGAACTTCCTAGGTTTTGTAGGGTACGTTTAAGGCCGGGAGGCACCATAATCCTCAAGCTTTGATCTCTCGCTGAGCAGAGGGTGGGATGGACGTGGCCTTTGGGGCAGGCCAGAAGCCACAAAACCAGGTGGAGTGGGCAGGGCTCTGCAACCATTTGAACCCCACACCCAATTAACTTTTTCACCTGTCTACACCTGCCCACACCTGAGCCTAACCCCATAAACAATGTGACTCAGACTTAACCCTGTCTGTTTATTGTGGAGGGAAATCGGGGGACACGGAGAAGAGCAGGACAGACCCTCCCCCCTCCCTTGGGCACCTATGGAAGTGGGTATCAGGACTCTGTGACATGCAGTGAGGCTGAGGAGGACAGAGACCAGAACAAGAGCTGAGAAAGGCAGCAGGAGACCCGGGTGGGAGTGGGGTGGTAGACAGTGAGGCAGGGACACCAGGGTGCCCAGTCAGGAATCTGCATCCTCCTTGCTACAAATCCAGCCTGGCCTGCGTCTGAGACAGGCACAGGATGGGAGACAGCCAGAACTAAATGGAGGTGGCAGGTGACCAGACCAGAGGGGACGAGGAAGATGGGGTGACGGCACACTCAGGTGGGAAAAGGACAAGGGAGCCGCTGCCTTCCCCAGGCCAGCCTAGCAGAATCTGCACTTGAGATTATTCTCCAGGAGGAAGGAGAGCACTGGGCATGATGGGTTTCTGAGGAGGGAATGGAACCAAAGCCATATAGACACGGAGGACAAAGGGAAGGTCTGAAAGAGCAGAGCAGAGAAGGTGAGTTCTGAGAGGCCAGAGCAGGGGGCTGGGTGTTGGGAGAGATGCTGAACAGACTGCAATTCAAGAAGTGTAAGGGGTCAGGGCCCTGCCCAGGGAAGAACCAAAAGCCCCGAGTTGTTGAGGAACAAGTATATGCGGTGCAGGTCGGCAACAGACAAGCCCAGGTTCAAGGGCAGGGCAGCCAGGGGGTCCAGGCCTTTAGGCTCCTTCCCATCATGGGAGCTGGGGAGGGGCAGTGAGAGGTTCAGGGCCTGGTAGAACCATTGGATCTGGGACTTGGACAGAGGCAGGCCCAGGGCCCCACCAGGGGGCTCAGGCTGGGAGCTCTGGAGCTGAGGGCTGGACCACGAGTTGCAGTAATCGTACTGGCAGCACTGGGCCTGGTACCAGTACTCTGAGAAGTAGGTGTTGCGTTTTTCTTGGCAGCGGTAAGAATTGTACTGTCCACAGCCTCGGATGAGGAAGCGAACCCTGGTATCTGGAGGAAGAGAACAGCTCATAAGCTGTTGCCTCCCGTAGTCTCCAAACTTGGCACCCCTACCAAGAACTCTCCCCATCCCTCACCAGACCCAACTTCCACCCCAGACAGCTTCAGAAATTTAGTTTCGTTACCCGCCCCCCCAACTCCTGACCCCACCTTCCGGGATCCTCCTCTCTCCTTCTTGTGCCCCAAGCAGCCCTCATCTAGGAGACCAAGCAATGGGCCGTCTCACCAGCAGCCCCTTCCTGAGTCTTGAACTCACTGTAATAGATGGTGATCACCATGCATGGGGATGAACTACTGATGGTGCATTTCTCTGAGCCAGAAATGCATCCTGCAGAGGGGTCTTCTAAGAGGCAGAGGTGGCAGGTCCGGAGTTCAGGAACAGGAACTGAGGAAGACAGAGGAATGGGAGCAGAGCTCACTCCAAGGTCCCTGCCCCACCCCACCCCCTTCCTTCCTGCCCCTGGGCCCCACTCACCTTTTCCCACTGCGAAGCCTACCGCGACCAGCACACCGACAAGCATATGTGCCTTCATTATGGCGTTCTGGGGAGAGGGACAGTGCCTGAGGGGTGCCCTGCAACTCCACCTTCCCAGGACCATGCTCCTGGGTCCTGAGCTGCAGGGGGGTTTTGAGTCTGGGCAGGAGCTGCCGTGGGCAGAGCTATATTCCTGCCTGGGGCAGGACCTGGGCTGGGTGAGGAAGTGATTAACCTGGCAGGAGGAACAGTGTGTCCTCACCCACGAGGCCTGCTCTCTGAATGTGGGCGCAGTGGCCGAGACGGGCAGGACCTGGGCCTGTATCCAGTGTGCTTCCCAAACACCTATTCCTGGCCCTCAGGGTCCATGAATTAGCTTGTGTCCAGCTCCACATGCCGCCCTCCCTCACATCAGAGCCAGTCCCCATTGTGCTGAAACTCTGGCCAGGAACTCGGCCTCCCTGTCCTTTTGAGATGAGCATGTCTCCGCTTCCCCAGCGGGGGGCACACAGGACCACACCGGCAGCAATTCTGGGCCTTTTCCCTCTTCTCTCCACCCCTTATTTTCGAACCACTTTCCCTGTAAAACCAAAACTGAGAGTGTTATGACCCTTACAGTGTAAACAGCCATAGGTGTCCTCCCGACCAAAGCAAACATTTCTCTAGTCTTTGAAGTCTGACCTTTCTCTGGGTCTTTTCCTTGGGACTTTGCACACCCCCACATCCAGTCCTAGGATTCTGCTCTGCTACTAAAAACATCACCAATCCACCGGGCACATATCCGTGCCAGCTTTCAACGGGGGGAGGGTGAGACGGGCCATGAGGGCCCCTGGCATCCAGCACACTACCCTCCCTTCCCTAACCCCAAGCACCAGCAGACCAGCTCATGGCCTTTTTCTTCCACTTTATTTCATATTCCCACCACAATAATGACTCCTTTAATTTAAACTAAAAACCATAGAGGGTTGCTGACAGGGTGGCAGCAAAGGAATGGGGACGGGGGTGAGGAATCAGCGAATCGTCTTGACTGGGCTCTTGAAGTTGCTAGCGGCTTGGAGCTGCAGCTGGTAGGCCATCGGATGGATCTTGAAACCATAGAGCCTGGGCCAGGGAATGGGTCAGAGAGACAGCAGGTGAGCCACATGCAGCCCTGCCAGCAGCCTACATTCCGATCTCCCCACCCAGCTCCTCCACGGGCCTGCTCAGTGCTTAAGGGCAGCGGTTCCCAACCTCCTCCCTACACGAGTATTTGGGTCTGTATCTTAAATACCCATTAAAACTCAAATTCTAGGCTATGTCTGTATCACTACTTGCTTCACTATAAAACTGAGCCCACCCCCCCGCCCCCCCGAGTAAAGATGATGCTTAGGAAGATAAACCACACTTGAACTGTGGTCTGAGGATCTCCTCGCAAAGGCAGAACATCCCAGGTGATGCGAGAACAGCTGTTGTTTAAACGGTGCTCTAAGTGCCAAACATTATTCTAAACACTTCACATATTTAATACCCTGCCAGGCAGGTACCATCAGCATCCCACTATGGACAAGGGAACTGAGACACAGGCAATCAAAGAACTCTTCTAAGGTCCCTCACCCTCAGCAAGGAGAGCCCTAGCTTTGGGAGAAGCAGACCTCAAAAAAGGACCATGCCCAGTCCTCCCTTCTCTCTAGGGGTCCCGGGCCTTTCCTTTGACCCTTGGTGACTGTCCCTGCTCCCTACCTGGGCACAAACTGGTTGGCAGGCCGCTTGGGCCGGTACTCGGGGTGCACCATGAAGAGCATGTGAGGGAAACCAGTGCCGAAGTACGCGCCGTCCGTGTGGTGGTGCCTCGAGGACTTGGGTGTGTACACGTCCATGCACTTGGGGCAGTAGAGCTTCACCATGGCCTCCCCTGGGATGTCCGAAAGGCCTGGGAGACAGTCAGGCTCAGTGTGCGGGCTCCCCTGACCGTGCCCAAACTCACTCCCAAACACAGGGTCCAACTTGCTGAGCCCCAGCTCCTTCCTTTCCAACACTCACCGATGGGAAGCATTGGCTGGTTCTCACAGTACACACGTGGACAGTAGCCAAAGTCTCCCTGCTGGTATTTTTCCAACTGAGGTGAATAAAATGGCAAGCGTTGGGGTGGCGGGGGGGTGTGAAGAGAAGGGGGAATCCCTTCCTCTGCCCAACCCATATCACTCTGTCCCCCATCCCTCCTGCCTTTCGCTGGCCTGGCAGGCCCTCAGACCATCAGAGCCATTCACTGTTCATTCTGAGAGAGAGTCTCTAACCACTTCCAGCCCAAGGTCACACCTCCCTTCCTGAAAACACCCCCTTCAGCACAATTCCCAATCAGGACCGAGTTCCCAGGCCCGGGTTCTGAGGCGCTCCTCAGCCGGACTCCCTGCTGCAGGAACCTGTTTCCCTTACTGCCTCAGAGGAGTCAAGTGCAAGCAGAGAGGCCTCACCATCTGGGCGATGCCACGGTTGGTGAGGATATAGCGGGCGTGGATCAATCCATACAGCATCTCAGCTGCCTGCTCAATCAGGTCACTCTGGTTGGGGTTGTCTTCCAGCTCTTCATCTGAAACACGGCAACCACTTGTCTTACCGCTTTCTTAGGTGCCCTGCCCATCCCCAGGAGCTGCTGGCTACTCAACACCCACCTCTGAGCCTCACCCCACCCATCATGTGGGCCTCTGACCCAGAAACCTGGGCCTCTGACCCTTCCACCAACCCAAGGCAGCTCTACCTTCTCTCCATACCTCTCCAGCCTCTGCCGTCTTCTCCTCCTCCCAACTCCCTCAAGACATAAATGCAAAAACATCAGTAGGGAAGATGGAACTCTAGCCCGGAAGGTGCAAGGCAGGAGAAAGAAGCAAAAAGGAGACCCCTGGGGAAACTGGCATTATGGAATAGAGCTGAATTATAGAATCAGAGTATGAGCACAAGTGGTATAAGTCACTAAACTAGGCAAAAGTCAGGTGAGAGATCAAAATGAAGTATGGGATTTGGGGTTAAGGGAGTCAGAAACCAAAAGGAAATTTAGAAAATCAAGAAGCAGATGAACAGGGATTTGAAGATTAAAAAAAAAAAAAGCATCACACACAAAACAGCCCTGAGGGGGCCTCACCAGGCTCCAGGTCCAAGATCATGTCTAGAGCTTGTCGATAGTGAGGCACCTGCTCGTTGAGCCCAGTGAGATTGAATTTGTCCTGGATGTAGTCTTCATCCACCTGTCAGGATGTGGAGGTGAAGAGGGAACTCGTAACAGAATTCTTGGCTTTGACCTGACAAGTGGCTCCACTGATGCCTTATCCTCAGGACAACCGCTCTATTCCCCTCCCAACTCAGCACAGGTACTTGAATCTCTATCCTCAGTTCACACACCCCCTCCCATAAAAGCTTTAGCTTAAAAAACCCCAAGACGACATGTATTTATTTACTTAATGTTTTTTTTAACTTTTAAAAAGTTTTTATTTGTTGATTTGAGAGGGAGAGAAAGAGAAAGGGAGAGTAAAACACCAATTTCTTGTTCCACCTATTTATGCACTTACTGCTTGCTTCTTGTATGTGCCCTGACTGGGGATCGAACCCTCAACCTTGGCATATCAGGACGATGCTCTAACCAGCTACCTGGCCAGGGCCTAAATAGGTTTTTATTGATTTTAGGGAGAGAGGGAGAGGGAAGGGAGGGAGAAGGAAACACGGATGGTGGCCTCCTGCACACACCCTGACCAGGGATGGAGCCAGCACCCGGCGTGGGCCCTGACCAGGGATGGCACCGGTGACCTTTCCGCGCACGGGACTGCACTCAACCAACTGAGGCACACCGCTGTCGCTGGAGAGGCACTACCGTCTTGGCTTTTTCCACTAACCAAAAAGACACAGCTTCACTTGTCCCATCTTACACTGCTGGAGGGGCAGGGCTGGGAGCGGCCTGGGCCACTGAGGGGACTCCTCCTCCACAGGAACAAGTTTCCATGGAGGCATGTGAGCGGGCTGGGGAGTATCTGGGCAGGCTGTGTCGGACCCAGGAGGAAGGGCAGGAGAACTCACTTCACAGAAGAACTCATTGCCACGGAGCCCACAGAACCAGGAGATCCAGGACACCTCCTCTGAGCTGCTCATCTTCACGTCAGCTGCAGAGAGAGTCAGTGGGACCCAAGCTCCGCTGCTCCGCCACCTCCCTCCTCCCGCTGCCTCCACCAGGGAAGAAAGAGCGCGGGGCCACCGTTCCTTAAGGGTCCAGGTTCTGGAGCACCTCTCTTCACCTCCTCTTATCGACACCTCAGCCCCTTTCTCTGAGATCAGGACTCTTTGGGGTCCCACCGGAAACCGACAGGCCTTGACCTACCCGTCCCATCCACATCCCGACGCCCCCGGAGGCCGGCCCCGGCTCGGCTCCTACCCCCGCAGGTCTCTGCAGGTCCCAGCGCCTTTCCCAAAGGTTTCAAGTTTATCCTTTCCAAGCGAGAGCTGGGCCCCTCCTTTTCTCAAGGCCTGGGGGTGGCCCCAAGGTCCCTTTCGCGGGTCTCCTCACATCCCGCCTCCGCCCCTCAAGCCACCCTTTCCTTCCTCTCTCGGTGCCGACCCTCTTCACTTCCTTCCCCACCCGCATAGCGAGGCGCGGAGACCCCCATGTGCCGCGCCAGGGACAGGGTACTCGGCGCGGCGACAGCCTTATAAGACTCACCGTCTGGACGGGGGCCGGGACCAGGGTGGGGGAGGGGAGTCGCTACTTCCAAGGAACGGCGGCGACGGCTACAGCGCAGGCCGCGGACCCGATCGCGGCAGGCGGAGTGGAGGGGTGTAAACGGGAGTGCGGGGAAGAGGGCAACGCGCAAGCGCCAAGGGTCAGGCGCCGCGGTGGACGCCGGGAGATAGAGTTCCCGAGAGGGAGAAACTGGCGAAACCAGGGCAAGGCGAACTACGACTTCCAAGGTGACTCGCGCACGACCCTGGTGTCGCGAGGCCCCTGAGGAAGACGCTGGGGGCGGGACGCAGCGAGGCGCCACCGGAAGCGGAAGCCCGGTAACCTCCTGGGCCGGGAAGTATGGGAAATATAGTTGTGTGATCCCGGGATCCGGGGGCGGCAGGAGGTGGGGAAAGGGACGAGGCTGGCCTCCGGCCCCCGCGCGCCCTGCGCAGGGGACTGCGCTCATCCCAGCCAACCCGCCGCGTCCAGTTGCCTGGCCCACCCTTTGCCCGCGCCGGGCGCGCTCTGGGGACCCCCGACGGGGCCCATATTTTGCTGAGGGACTTGGGTGGGATGCGCTGGGCTGCGCTGGGCGGTGAGAGAACCGGGCGGCCTAGTGCGCTAACCTGAGGCGGTGCCAGCCATTCTGCTGTTCGTCTCTTTGTACTTCTTAGGGCTTGAATGGGGCCTTCTGCTGCGGGCGCTAAGTGCGACCTTCGAACCCTGGTTGCAGTAATGGTGAGGGGCAGCGTGACGTTATTTTATTTCCCAGTCCGGGGCATTCCATAGGTTTCCCTCCGCCTTCCCAGGGCCTTTCTTAACCCAGAGAGTGGTTTCCCAGCTCCAGAAAATGAGCTCAGAGCAGGGGGCCACGTTGAGGGAGGCGAAGGGCATTGTGGGGCGTTAGGTAAAAGCAAGACCCCAACTGACAGATCCTCCCCTGTCCTCGCGCTCCCTAGGCACGTGGCGCTCTGCGTGAGTTCTGTTGGAAAGGCTCCAGGGCGGGAAACCAGGCGCTTTCTGCACGCCTGCGTCCTCAAGTAATCTTGGTGGGTTTTTTCCCAGCCGCTTGCGTCTTCGAATAGTCTGGCTATTTGATTACGTGAACTCCTTTGCTTAGAGTAGCGCCATTTTGCAGTAGGGATGCAGACTGCAGCCTCTCCCCAAATCTGCTTCCTGCTTTCGGAGAAGTGTCAGGTGTTTTTGTCTGAGAAGACGGCACTCGAAATAGACACTCAAAATAGGATGGAGGAAGATTGAAGAGCCAGGCTGATTGGTTTTCTTATTCGTTTGTCTTAGAGATGATGAAGTAGTTCCAGAGAGAGGCAATCACTACTTATTGTTGATGAAGCTGGGAGTGGGGGTGGAAAGCAGGGCCTCTGAGCAACTGCCTCATGGAGTCTTTGCTCACCTTTACTCTTGGGCATGGCCTGTTACTACAGGGTTCCCTGTTCTCCCACGTGATCTATTGCCTCAGGCCCAGTAGGGATCTAGGTTGTGGCATCACTTTTGGGGCGGGAAAGGTTTTTTTACTCTAAGGCTGCTTTCCTTCATCCCAGCAGGTCTCTGGAGTGGCTTGCTGGTCTCATCTTCCCCTTGCCTAGTCTCATTTTTGAAGCTCTCCCAAGCCATGTCCAGACCCTCCCTCATCACCTTCACCCCAGCCACTGACCCCAGTGACTTCTGGAAAGATGGGCAGCAGCAGTCACAGGCTGAAGAGCTGGAGCCTACCTTGGATGGGGCTGCGGCCCGGGCTTTCTATGAGGCCTTGATTGGAGATGAGAGCAGCACCCCTGAACCTCAGAGATCACAACCTGAACCTGCTGGTGAGAGAAAGAGGAAGAAGAGAAGAATGATGAGAGAGGCTGCAATAGAAGCATCAGGAGGACATGGTCAAAGGAGATCCCTTGAGGCTGAGGACAAGATGACTCATCGGATACTGAGGGCAGCCCAGGAGGGGGACTTGGCAGAACTAAGAAGGCTGTTGGATCCCCATGAAGCAGGGGGAGCTGGGGGGAATATCAATGCTCGGGATGCCTTCTGGTGGACCCCCCTGATGTGTGCTGCCCGAGCAGGCCAGGGGGCTGCTGTGCGCTATCTCCTGGGCCGGGGAGCTGCCTGGGTTGGAGTTTGTGAGCTGGGTGGCAGGGATGCTGCTCAGCTGGCTGAAGAAGCAGGCTTCCCTGAGGTGGCCCGCATGGTCAGAGAGAGCCATGGAGAGATGAGGAGTCCAGGGAACCGGTAAGGGGAAGCCTTCGCCCATGCCCATCTTCAGTGTGTTCTGCCCTTCCTAGCCACTCCACACCAGCAAAGAGCTGAAGGGTTCTCTTCCCCATCTCCCAGTGTAGATAGATAAGGCAGTGTACTGGGACGATCATGAGCACAAGCTCTAGGTTTAAATGCTAACTCTGCTTAACTTGGGGAAGCAACCTAATGTCTAGGTGCCTCAGTTTCCTTGTCTGAGAAATGGTGGTAATAAGAGCACCTTTCTCATAGGTTTGTTAGGATTAAATGGGTTAGTATATGTCAAGTGTTAGAGCTTTCCACATAGTAAGCACTGTGTAAATATTGACTATAGCTATTGTATCCCTTCCTTGCGAGTTCTGGTTACCATCTCTTTACCCAGCTTTCCCCCTCTGGTCTTTCATTGCTAAGTGGGGAGGAAGGCAATTTGTTCCTTAGAAAGACTGGAAGGACCTTGTCATCCCCCCCTCCCCCACCTCCACCCTTTCTCTGCCCTCAGTCCTTTCTCTTCTTCTTCTGCAGTTCCCAGTCCCCGTCCACCCAGTACTGTGAGACGTGTGATGCCTACTTCCAAGACTCCAACCACTGCACATCTACTGCTCACCTGCTGTCACTGTCCCGCGACCTCCGGAACCCCAGTCTGCACTTTGGGATGCCTACTTCCAGCCCAGGCTTCAAGCTGCTGCTGAGGGCAGGCTGGGAGCCTGGAATGGGTCTGGGACCCTGGGGCAAGGGCCGTGTCAACCCCATCCCTACTGTCCTCAAAAGAGATCAGGAAGGGTTAGGATACGGATCAGCATCCCAACCCCGAGTCACACACTTCCTGGCTCAGGATACCCGGGCAGTGGCTGGGAGGGAGAGAGCCCCTCAGGCAGCCACACTGAGCAGAAGGGAGGAGAGAAGGCAGAGGGACAAGGACAGAGCCTGGGAGTGGGATCTGAGGACATACATGAACCTTGAGTTCTGACCTTGCCGAGTCTGACACTGGACTCTGTTGAAGTCTGAGCTTGTGCATCTGACCTGGGCACTTTGTTACACTCCTGGTGTCTGCTCAAGTCCCAGACACTCAGATTTTGGTCCACAGGCCCTACCTTTGAGAGAGGGGCTGAGAGTTGAGAAATAAATCAATCATCTCACTTGTTTTGTGTTTTATTTTAAAAATATGTATTTATTGATTTCAAAGAGGGAGGTAGAGGGGGAGAGATAGAAAAACAGTGATGAGAGAAACATTGATTGGCTGCCTCCTGATGCCCCCTATGGGGGATCGAGCCTGCAATCAGAGCATGTGCCCTGACTGGGAATCAAACCAGTGATCTGGTGTATGGGGGATGCTCAACCATGAGCACCACTGGTGTGTTTTATTCACTTTTCTGGAAGCTGTTATGGAGAAGCCACAGAGTCTGGGGGCCACATGCAAGTCCCACCTGAGCCAGAAAGGGCAGCCCCTCCAGGTGGCATGATAGGGTCACCTCCCTGCCAGCCCTAGAGCACCCCAATAGAGTGATGAGAGTGGGTAGGGGCTTGTAGGAAGAGGCCAGTGTGGTGGGCAGCCCTCAGATGATGCAGCCTGTACTCTGTTAGCTGACTGGCACCAGTACTCTGGCCTCTCAGATCTCAACTTGAAGCCATGGTGTTTCACTACCTGGAACATCCTAATAGGAAGGCGGAAGCGTATGCTGTTCGACTACACTTGTCTTCCCCATCCTCCCCTTTGCCTTGTGCGGCTTATACCAGGTGCCCGGCGGTGGAATCTGCTGGGAGGGACAGGGAACAACTTAAGTCCCAGGACTCCTCATGGCTTTGAAGTCACGGACACAAAACGGGTTGTGGGGGGAGAACCCAAGGCAGGGGCTAGAGGGCAGGCGCGTTCTGGGGAGCACGGGCGCCGGGGCCTCCGGGCGACGAAAACGGGGGCCGGAGCTAGTACACGGGCCCTGACGG